AACCATCCATCCATCTATCCATCCATTCATTTATTAATTTATTCATCCATTCATCCATCCCTCTATTCATTTATCTATTCATCCATCCATCCATCTTACATAAAGGTTACTTAAAGGTTACTTAAGGATGATTCTTTTATTTTCATTGTCAGGGGTCACGATATGGCTAAACTTAATTAATAATTTGTGTCTTTCAGCTCTATCCTTGCTCTTCCTTTTCCTGTCGTGGTTTCTGTGCAAAGACTCGGAAAACTCCTCATGGCCACCTTCCGGCGAATATAAAATGAACAATAATGAAATGCAAGAGTATGGCGAAAAGATTGATGATTCTGTTGGCGGTCAAGGCGTTGAAAATTTAGGAGTCGAGACAGAGGAAAACGCGAATAATACCAAATTTTAAAGATGTATTTAGTAATACGTACAATAATTATTTTGAATGAATGAATGATTAAAAAAATTAAATTAATAAATCACTTTGTTTAAGTGTCTAGTCGTTCTAGTGCTTTCGCACTAATTGGGGACACTTTTCGCTCACACGCACTACCACTACATTTAATATTCTATGCGCACAACGCTCAGCTCACATGTTCGTGATTTTTACGGAGGGAGGAAACCGGAGAACCCGGAGAAAACCCTCGCAGCACAAATAAAAAGTTTTATAACTGAAAACATTTGTTTGCATAATCTTTTATTTGGTTTACTTGAAGCTCTCAAATTTAATTTTAATGTTTTGATTTTTCTTTAATTTTAATGGGTTTCTCTTTTATGGGTTTCCTGTGGTATTGGCGGGAAGCCATAAATAAGGAAACGATAAAGCGCAACAACTACAGTAATAATAAAAATGGAAAATAAAGAAAAAAGAGAAAAATGTAAAAGAAATTCCTTAGGGACAAAATTAACATTAAAAGAAAAAAAGAATCGAAATAAAGATCTGAAAAGAGAGGAAAAGAAAAGGAAAATCCCGGCTGTCTTTCTCTCGCTTGGATTTCTCACTCTACTTTCCTTTTATTCAGAATGTTTGATCAAACATTGTTTATCATAACGAAAGACATAAAAAACGCACGAAAAGTTGCTAAATTCGTTCCACTGGACGCCATTTTGAATATTGCAAATCTAATTAACTCTTGACCCTAAGCCTGCACTAATGTAGATCAGCAGTTTCCCCAAACACAAAACAAAATGGCGCTTCACATGTGGAGTATAACTTTGTCTTCACTGCCTTCATGTTCATAAATAGCAATGCTTAACCCCAAAATACAGTCAAAGATACGTCCATTTGGTTTAATTATCTAGCATTCTTTGAAGCAGTGAAAAAATTACGGCTTGAAACGTTAAGTGTTGTACTCACGTGGTCTGAGCAAGAGCTCACTAGGACCTCTTTTTATCATTGAAGCATCTTTTTTTCTCTTTTAACGTATGAAAGTGGAGTATAATAATGGAGAGCGCATGAGGCAACTTGAACTATAGCAAAAATATAAGTATTTACAGCTTTGAAGTACATAACTTTACAGAAAACTCACTGGCAGCGTGATAAATTATGGAAGAGTCAGGAGTAGTGGGTATTGAAGCTATTTTTGAAACTCTACAACACGCATGTAGCCAGAATCCTGAGTTACTTAAGCCAGCTGAACAGAGGCTACATTCATGGGAGACGCGACATGGCTTTTATACTGCATTAATGGTTAGTTCTTTTTGGATGTATAGTTTGTCGCATTGTTTTGGGTGCCTAATTTTTACTCCCTTTGAGAACACGTTTTTTCATGTATTAAGACCTGTTGTAAGAAATTCACAATCTGGGGGACAAAGCAATTTAAATCTTTGATTGAGCCCCAAGTATGAGCTATTGTCATTACTATGCCAAACAGAGATGCAATTAATTGATGGAACAAAGCAACTTGGCAAGAACTATTGTCATGATAATATTTGGCAGATTAACAAATTGACAACGCAATACTAATATTTTGTAAATATGCCATCTAGCCCTATGCAGTCATCTCTCGCTACAACAGATGCTTTCGGGACCATCACTTTGTGTTTGTAATAGGGAGTGTGTCTGCAATTATTTTGTTACATCATCACCTTTATCATCTTTTATTGTATCCTCTTGTGGTCAGCTGTTAATATCAATAATTATAAAATAACTAAGAGATAACGCACACTCTGATTGGTCAATTACCATTTTATATAACCCAACATAGATCGTGAGGAAATGATGTCAGCAACGCAAGCAATGTTTTGTTTGTTTCTTATGTTTTTTATTATTTCTTTTGAGTTAATCGTTAGTTATTTCTTTGTTATTTTATAAAAGAGATAGAAAACTCCCCTTGCTTGTGCTATGTTGAGTTATACAAGCACTTGGGAAATTGCATGAGCCCTCGAGAAGTGCCAAAAAGCACTCGCCTAAGGCCCATGCTTCTCCTAGCACTTTTCTCTGACTCACGCAATTTCCCGCGTGCTTGTATAACTCAACATAGCACGTGCGCTCTTTTTCTATCTCTTTGATGTCATTACTGTAGAAAAACTTTATCAAAGTAGTCCAATTCTGGCTGGACATTGTCCAATTACAGGCCATTATTCTAAGTGCTGTATTTTTTGTGAAGGTGCATAGAAATAACCAAAAACAGATAGCTGGAGGAACACAACTAAAAAAAATTGCTTTGAGCTTTGCAGACTCATCTCCCTAAGCAATCAAACATCTTGCTGAATTTCTATTCCTTTCATCAGTTATTGTCAGTATAATCCAGACAAGGTATTAGTAAGCTAATTGTGTATTCGATTCTTATATATTTTTCAATTCCAGCACATATTTTCCAATCGATCAATGGATGCCAACATTCGATGGTTAGCTATCCTTTACATTAAGAATGGTGTGGATAGATATTGGAGGAAAAATGCCCCAAAGTAAGTTACATCTTGATATACACTCACTATAATGAATAAACATTATATTTTTATACATATTTTATTATTATTATCATTATTATTATTATTATTATTACTATTATTATTATTATTACTATTATTATTTTTTTAAATTTTTTTTTAATATTAATATTTTTTAAATGTTATTATTATTATTATTATTATTATCAATGTGCCATCTTAATTCATCTTTTGTTGTATTCTCTTGTGGTGAGCTGTTAATATCAATCGGCATCATTACTGTAACAAAGCTTTATTTGCCCCCCTGGACGCCCCATAATGCTTTGCAATCCAAGATGGCCAGCACATCATTGAAGTAGTCCATTAGGGTTTTACAACCTGTACTTTATGTAGCTATTTATCTTTGTCTTTATCTTGTGTTCTGTGACTTTTTTAAGGGCTATCCCAGAAGAGGAGAAAGCAATGATGAGACACCAGTTGATATTGTCATTAGATGAGCCTGTTCATCAGGTAATGTAGTAGACCATGCTTTATCTTAGTCTGGTGTGGTATTGAACATGTTCATCAGGACCTATTTGTTCAAAGGGTGGACAGGGCTATCTGATGGATAATATTGTTATCCAGTGGATAAATTTATTGGATATTAGCATTTATTATATAGATATCGATGAATTACCAGGTTTTCTCTAGTGTCGAAAACTTGATATCTTTCACCAGTGGAAGATAACATATCTTTCACACGTGAAGATATTGCTGTTGAAGCAGCTTGCTTTTTTAATAAAGAATTTTTGAGCTTTTGTTTTATTTAAGTTTCATCGATATCTATATAATAAACAGAACGTTACATGGCCGCTTGGAGATATGAATTTTATCTTCTCGTGTTCAATTTAGATATCTCACTTGTTCGCGTGTGCTCACTCGTGAGATATCAATTGAGCACTCGAAGATAAAATTTGTATCTCCGCGTGCCCATGTAATATCCTCTATTGACTTAATAATATTTGATATTTGATACTTATATTGTGCATTTTAGATATAAATACTCAAATGCGCATTATGTGACTTATGCGCTAGACAAGGATTTATCCATTGCCATCCACTCTTGTATAACCGGGCTCAGGTAATACGGTAGGCCTTGCTTGATGTTGAACTCATCAGTGAAAATGAGCATTATGCAGGTGTATGCCTTGAGCTGACCAGATGTCCATGGTAACCACACCATGATCACCACATACTGCAGCACCTGTCATACTGGCATGTCAGAGTACTTGCCCAAGGGTCAACTTACCCAAAGTCTATGATGTACTTACCTATAATCAAGCTCAACTTCCCCAGCTCATATGTAATCTTAGTTCTTTGATTGTTTTTAATTTAAAACAGATCGCAACACAAGTAGCAGTTTTAATTTCAAAGATTGCAAGACTTGAATTGCATAGTTGGCCAGAACTTTTTCCTGCTCTGTTTGAGGTAATTGAGGACTTAATGAACTGTTGTGTAAAATACCTATATAAAAGGATTGAAAAATGGGATTAAATAAATGAGATTAAAAAAATGAGATGATGGGAAAAATAAGGAGATAATAGTGATAATTAATGCAATATTGGGAATTATGGGATAATTAAGGGAATTTTAAAATGTTTCATAGATTTACTCTTCCTCTAATGAATTCCATTTCAGAACAAGTGTCATTCTCTTAAAAATATATATGTAAGATATAGAATAAGTCTTATTCCTTGTGGATCCTTATGCATAGCTATTACACAAAGAAATGCTACTCTAGAGAATGACACATGGTCTAAAATGTGAAAATCCTATGCCCATCTAAAGATGTGTAATAATTAATAGATGGTTATAATTGGTGAATTTGATATTTAATGACTCATACATCATATATTTGATACTTGAGCCTGTTGCAACCTTTTATTGTTATTATAGGGAGTTCAGAACCCTTCGTTTTTAGTAAAGCACAGATCTTTACTGGTCTTGAACCATGTAACCAAGATGTTGTCGTCTAAGAGACTGGCCAATGATAGGCAACTATTCAGACAGGTAAGATTATTGAAGAAATAGAAAACCCGCGCGCGTGCTGTGTGCTGTCATAAAGCACGCGGGGGTTGGCAGAACACGAGAGAAGTGTTAGGAGAAGCACGACGCATAGCAGTTTTTTATTTCTTTTGTAAAATACAAATTACAATAATAGATAGGAATGACGAAAGGGAAGGTGCGCGTGTGTGCAATGTGCTCTCATAAAGCACACGCTCCAAACCAATCAGAACGCGACATTCATAACAGTTATTTTATAAACAATTATATCTAACTCTTGAATATATGGACACTCAAGAGATTACATGTAAATGGTCCTTGATTTACAAGGGTGGCACTGACTGCCATTTTCATAAACATGTGAACTTGGTAGCTGCAATCAGCTGCACCCTGAAATTTAAAACTAAAAATAAAAAACTAATTAGTCTAGTGCGAGCTGTGTCGGTGTTTGTAATGAAACAGTAATGATAAAACTTAGATGAAAAAACTGACATTTTAAATGCTAGTCCTTCGTCGGAGTAAAAGAGGAAGGACTAGCGTCCGAAATGTCAGTAAGTGTTTTCATCTTTTCATGGTGTATAATTTACCTTTTTATCATTACCTTTTATATTTGACTGGCGGCCATGAAAAACCAAGTTCTAATGGGCAAATCACGACTAGTTGCATGTGTATGAAAATAGCGGTAATAAGGTGGTAATAGCCAAATGCTAACAAGCATATGTGGCCCTCATTCATTTCTATCTTCATGCATATTTTTAAAATATTATTTCAGTTATCTGAGAGCATCTATGCATCTATACTTGATCTGTGGGAAGCTCATTCTACTTTGTGTTTTGAAAAAGTACACCAACAGGTACAATATAGGATGTATTCAAGATATAATATTCACAGTTACAGTATATCATGTAGCAGTGAAATATATAGTGCTTGAAGCAGGGTCCAAAATTAGCAGTCTTCCATTCATCAGAAAATTTTCAATTGATGACTGGATTTTAGAAGATGGTCTTTCAGCTATTGACTAAACTGTTTGTCCTGAGACTGTTTGCAGTGTTTGTTGAATATAAGAACGAGCTTTCTCAATGCTTTTTAGTCAATTATTATTTTAATTCAGGCTTCATTATGACCCCAAAGCACAGCTGTAATCTGAATCCATGATGGTTGATTTGAGAGGAGAGAGAGAGAAAAGAAAAAAAAAACCACTTAGTCACTTACAGTACAATTTTGTTTTTGCAGGCATCAAATATCGAAGAGTCCTTAGAACTAAGTATATTGTTAGTAAAAGGTAAGGATAACACTTCACACAACTACAGAATAGACTCCTTGTAGCACGTCAGAATGCAGCTCAAATTGGAGGACATAACAATAGGTTTCCAATTTTACAGTAATGGGATTGGAATTCTTTTGTTTTGTCCTCCCAATTGAGCTGCTTTGACGTCACATTTTCTTACGCATTCCCTTTCAAATAGAGAATTGTACGCCAGTAGTAGCTGTAAGTACTACCATTTGGTTGGATCCATAGCCTCAAGAGTAATACAATGACACGTTTGTGTGGGTTTGTGGGTGGGGTTGTGTGAGGGGGTGTGCATATGGGGTGGGGGAGGGGGAAGGGGGGTATTTCTGTACATAGAGGTATTGGGTTGAGGCAAGTGGGTACAGTTTAGGATAACAAAAGACTCATCAAGTCAACAGGGTCGTCATATCTGTTATTTCTTATGTACCACTTAGCATTGATCAGTAAGCATTTTGGTTTAGTCCTCAGGAAACTCACTGTTCATGGCCACAGAGGATTTACTCCTGATTCCAAGCCAATGGTATGTTACTACTCACTATTTTGGATGTGAGGAATTATTATTTATGAGCTAAGAAAGTGTTATAGAAATCATTTGTCTCTAGCTGTCTCGAACCATGACCTTCTGGATGCCAGTCAAATGCTCTACCACTGAATCTAGTGATTTTTTATTTCATTTATTTTTATATTTCAGGTATTTCTTAGCACAAGTTTTGACAAGATTAGACTGTTTTTGGAATGTCGTAAGTAGCTTCAGAGACTATGAGAGATGGTCCTTGGTAAAGAATAGTGGCTTTGCACCATCACGTGATGGCAGCCATGACAGGAGGCAGGAACAATTGAATCTGGTCTAATCTGATTTACATAAGAAATAACTCAGTTTCCCAGGGCAAAGAGACTCTATCGGTGTGCCTCCTGTCATGGCTGCCATCACGTGATGATGCAAAGCCTCTATAGTATAGTCTGTGTAGTTTGATTCGATAGTAACATTAATTATGCTTCAATGATTTTAGGGAGACAGCTAGGCCACAGCCAAAAGTTAAATGAAATGGTGGAAAAAATAGCAAAGCTTTTAAGCAAGTCTGTAAGTATAAAGATGTGTGATTGTTAGCCGTCGTTTCATACAGGGCTTTTAATACTGGTATTACTGGAAAACGAAATATGGAAAATGAAAAGAATTTCCAGGTTCCCGAAAAAGTCCTTGAAATTTCTGTTCTACTTTTAATTTTGTGACCGTTTTTGTCGAATTTGAAATGGAAAGTCAATTTACATATTTCTTGTGCTTCCTGGAACCTCGACAGAAAATTGATCAGCAAAATCATCACCATCATCATCATCACCATCATCATCATCATTACCACCATCGCCACCATCATCATCACCATTATCATCATCATCACCACCATCACCATCATCATCGCCACCATCGCCATCATCATCACCACCATTATCATCACCTTTATCACCATTATCAGCATCAGTATCAACATCATCACCACCATCATCATCACCACCATCATCATCACCACCATCATCATCACCACCATCATCATCACCACCAT